AAAAGAAAGCAAATTAAAAAAACCCAACCCAACCCAAACCAAACAAAAAAACCCACAACCAACAACAAAAAAAGAGAAAAGCCTATAAATAGTTTTAGGTCTGTTTGTTGACCCTTAGGAGTGTTTTCCAGTCCAGTCTGATGAGGTACCACACCCTGGCCCCAAAGTCTATTTTTGGTATTCCAAGGAACTTCATTGCTTTGCTCCCCTTGCTGCTCTGTTGCATGTCCTTAGCATTTCACCCTGCTGTGTTGGGGTCAGATTGGACACAATTCCTGCTCTGTGCCTCTAGTGTTGTCCCTTGTAGTGATATGGGTCAGTAACCCATATGATTGGGTAACCCATAACTGATAACTGGTAACCCATAACTGATATGGGTCACAGACAACACTGTGCCGCCAGTGTTGTCCCTTGTAGTGATATGGGTCAGTAAGGGATGTCTTATCTCGCAGTGGGCTGGCTCTATGGTCCTTTCTGTGCATTAGCTGCTCTGAGCAGGAATATCATCCTTAGGGCTTGGTGGGCCATGATGTGTTCCATTCTCTCTCCTTCCCTCTTTGTTTGCTCCTGTGTGCTCTGATCAGATACACCCCTCTCCCTGAGCTGTAGCTTCAATGCTGTCTTCAGAAGTGAATTCTTTTGTGGGGAGGGGTGAGGTGTCCACATAGTTGGACTTGGGACTGGCCCCGCAGACCTCTCTGTTCATTCACGTCTTGGTGCACTGGGTTGAAGTCTCATCCCTCTCTCCCTCTCCTGTGGAGACAGAAACAACACCTCTATTCCTTTGGGTGGGTTAGTGCCCTGTTCCCCCACCACCCATGTCTTTTTTCTTTCTTTCTTTTCCCCTGCTTTTTAGTTGCTGCCATATGTATCCCTGCCATAGTACCTGGTATGTATACAATAGCTTTTCCCCTATGCCCCCTTTGCATTTTTAAGCTTACCTCAGCAGACTCATGCTGCACGTGTCCTTCCATGCCTGGCCTACTTCGTTCAGCATAACTTCCTCCAACTCTTCCCAAGTGGCAATGCACCCCATGGACTCACCATTGCCTTCTAGGGATGCATAGTACTCCATTGTAAGTATGCAGCACAGTTTTTTAATCCATTCATCTATTGATGAAAACCCAGGCTGTTTCCAACTCCCTGCAACTGTGCACTGCATAGTGAAGAACATGGGTGCACAGATGTCTGTCCATGGTTTGTTTCTTGCTTCTTCTGGGTATATGCCCAGTAGGGGGATTGCTGGGTCATACAGTAGCTTGATTCTATGTGTTTTAGATATCGCCAAATTGATTTCCATAGTGGCTGTACAGGTTCGCCAGAAGTGGATGGGAGTTCCTATCTCACCACAGCCCCTCCAACACTTGTTGCTTTCTGATTTTTTGAATTGGGTGCTAAGTGGCATCTCATAGTTGTTTTAAATTGCATTTCTCTTATGGCTAATGATCAGGAACATTTTCTCATATGTTTATTAACCATTCAGATTTCTGCCCCTGTGAAACTTCTGTTCAGGTCCTTTGCCCACTTCCTTAGTGGGCAGTTAGTTTTTTCTTATTATAAGCATGCAAAGTATTGTGGATTTTAGTAATAAGGTCTATGTCTGATGTGTCATTGCTAAAGATGTTTTCCCAGTCCGTGGGCTCTCTTATTACTCTCTTGGTGAATTCTTTCAATGAACACAGGCTTTTTATCTTCAGTACATCCCACTTGTCAATTTGTGACTTGTCTGTATTTGTATCCATCCCTATTTCTACTAGCCTAAGTATTCCCTGTGCCAAGGTTCTCAGGTTTGTCCCAATTCCCTCAAAAATGACCCTAGTTTGGGATTTTACCTCAAGGTCTGTGATCCACCTTGAGTTTATTCTTGTGCATGGAGTGAGTTAAGGGTCTTGCTTCATTTTTCTGCAGGTAGATATCCATTTTTTCCAGCACCACTTATTGAAGAGGGAATCCGCATCCCATTTGATGTTTTTTTGGCCCTTATAAAAAAATCAGTTGTCTGTATGCTGTTTTCGTTTCTGAATTTTCAGCTCTTTTCCTGTTGTTATACCAGTACTACACTGTTTTGACTACTGTGGCTGTGTAATACATGCTAAAGTCAGGTAAAGCGAACCCTCTTACTTTGTCCTTCTTCTTGAGGAGTTCTCTGCTAATTCTGGGCTTCTTCCCTCTCCATATGAAGTTGGTAATCAGTTTTTCCAATTCTTTGAAGAAGGATGATGGTATTCGTATCAGGATAGCATTAAACTTATATAGTGCCTTGGGCAGAACTGACATTTTTACTATATTGAGTCTTCCAATACACAAGCATGGGATATTCTTCCATTTGTTGAGGTCACTCTTGGTTTCTTTTAATAGTGTTCTGTACTTTTCCTAGTACAAAGCATTTGTTTTTTTTTTAGTAAGGTATATCCCTAGATATTTCAATTTGTACTTGGCTATTGTAAAGGGTACTATCTTTTTAATTGCCTCTTTTGTGATCTTGTTTGATGTATAGAACAGCCTGATAGACTTCTGTTTGTTGATCTTGTATCCTGCCACTGTGCCATATTCCTTTATCACTTCCAACACTCCACTTCTGGAGTTACGGGGGTTTTTGATATATAAAATCATATTGTCTGCAAATAATGATAGTTTTGCCTCTTCCTTCCCCAGACAAATACCTTTGATGTCTTTCCTTTGTCTTATATTGTTAGCTAGGACCTCCAATACAATGTTAAATAGGAGTGGGGACCAGGGGCATCCTTGTCTAGTCCCCCTTTTCAGTGGAATTGTTTTCATCTTTTCTCAATTGACTACCATGTTGGCTGATGGTTTTTCATACATAGCCTGTTTGAAAATATCATTCCATTCCTATTTTCTTGAGTCTCTTAAACAGGAATTGGTGTTGGATGTTGTCGAATGCTTTTCCTGTATCTATTGATATTCTTGTGTGGTTCTTATAATTTTTCATGTTAATGTGACGAATAATACTAATGGTATTTTGTATGTTGAACCATCCCTGAATCCCTGGTATGAATCCCATATGGTCATGGTGAATTATTTGTTTTATATACTTTTGTATTCTAATGACTAGTATTTTGTTAAGGATTTTGGCATTGATTTCATTTAGGGATATTGGTCCATAGTTCTTGAGTCATGTGGGATCCTTGCCTGGTTTAGGTATCAGAGTTACACTAACTTCATAAAGAGGTTGGGAGTTTGCTGTCTTTTTCTATGTTCTGGAAGAGTTTGTGTAGAATTGGTGTCAGTTCTGCCCTGAATGTTTGGTAGAATTTTCCTGTGAAGCTGTCCAGTCTGGGAGATTTTTTTCCCTGGTAATCCTTTGATAACCTTGTCTACTTCTATTGCTATGGATGGGTCTGTTGAGATTCTTGACATCCATCTGGGCTAGTCTAGGGAGGGATTGTTTTTCTAAGTATTTGTCCATGTCTTCCAAATTGCTGAGTTCATTGGAATGCAGGTTTTCCTAGTACTGTGTAATTATCCTTTTGATTTCATTAGGATCCATTTTAATGTCTCCTGTTTCATCCCTCAACCTTGCTATTGAAATTTGTTTCTTCCTTTCCTTGGTTAGGTTTGCCAGCGATCTGTGAATTCTGTTAATCCTTTCAAAGAACCAACTTTTAGCTGTATTAAATTGTCCATAGTTTTCTTGTTTTCCCGCTCATGAATCTCAGCCCTGATTTTTATTATTTCTTTTCTTTTGCTCCTAGTACGATTGTCCTGTTGACTCTGCTCTAATTGTTGTTAGTTTTGTGTCAGTATATCAATCATTAGTCTCTCTTCCTTTTCATGTGTGCAGGTATTGCTATGAAACTTCCTCTGATAACTGCCTTTGCTGTGTCCCAAATGTTTTGGTATGTCATATTCTCACTCTTTAAAAAAATATTTTTATACTCCTCAGTTTATTCTACGAACAATCTTTACTTATATATTCAAGTGATTTTGAGATTACAGTGACCTCAAGGCACAGATATCCATATTCTCCTATAAATGTAGTAAACACTTCTGAAAGAACTCATTAACATATCAATATGCCAACTTTTTAAAGCATCGCTCCCCCACTCTAAGTCTATTTATCTATTTGACATTTGGGATAACCCAAAATGCATATACAAAAAGACATGTTTGTCAAATTACAGTAAGACTAAACAGCATTCAGTATCCTTTTGATAAAATTGAATTTTCAGAGGTAAAGTGATTCAAATAGGAGCAACTAAGCTGGCTTCTTAAGGAAATAAACTAGATAAAAATTAAGAAGCATGAAAGGTGTGAAAGATGATTTCCATAATCCTTTACCTGTTCTTTTAACATAAAAGTGTGTGTGTAAATTAGAATACATCTCATCTAGGCTGGGGTGCCCTTGATTGAGGAATGTTATTCAATGAAAGGCCCTGGGATAAAAAGATGAGAGGTAGTTTGTGGGGAAGTAGAGGATGCTTGTCCTTTATTAACATATCCATGTAACCTATTGGAGAGGTAGAACAGGCTATTTAAAAGTCTCAATTGGCCTGTTGTTGGCCAGAACCTTAAAGTGATATTTTATTTCATTATTCATTATCATCAAAATTAAGCAATTCCAAGTGAAGGCAGTCCTTAGATGTTTAACTGCAAGCACCAGCTAATGATGCCATTTCACAACATGCACAAAATTTTCTATTTTTTTGTTTTATTACTTTGCTTATAATGAGGGTAAGTGGGAAGTTCAACTAACCGAGAAGATTTAATGTACCCCATAAATCAAAGGTTTGTTCTTCTGCCAATCACAACTGATTTCCATCTACAATCATTTTTCACATAAGAAACAGGAGGTCAACTGAAGAAGTAGCTGTGACTCTGAGCTATGGAACTAACGTGACTGCGCCGACTGATGCTGCAGAGCATCGCGGGGAAGGTGCTCATCACAGTAGGCCTTCAGCAGCAGTGAACGGTGCTTTAGCTTGCCTTCTCCAAACGCCTCGCCGCACCTAAGACACTGCTGGTACACAGTCTCCAAGTCAGTCATTCCCATAATAGGGATCTTCAAGGATAACTTGTTTTTGTGGATCATAGTTTCCAAGCAGTTCAGGTTTAGCTTTGCAGTTTTTAACTTGATTACCTTTTCTAGTTAGATCTCTCAGATTGCTTTCATCCATACATAGTATAAAATCAAATCTGGCAAAGTCTTCTTTGGTAATCTGCCGAGCAATGTGATTCCTGAGGATACCATGCTTCTTCATGCAATTTTGCCCCCGATAATCAGGAGGATTTCCTATTTCATATGTGGATGTTGCTGCACTGTCTATTCTCCACTTATCTAAAAGGTTTTGATCCGTTACACGTTTTCTGAACACTGCTTCTGCAATAGGTGATCGACAAATGTTACCCAGGCATACAAACAGAACGGATTTGGGGGCCTGCTCAGCCATCTTCTCTCCCACAGAGATCCATATTCTCATTCTTGTTGGTTTCTAGAAACTTCCTGATTTCATCTCTGATTTGGGTCAGTACCCACTCCTTTTGCAATAGAAGTTATTCATCCTCCAATTGTTTGCCCTTGTTTTCTTTTCTTTTCTTTTTTAAAAAAATAAGTATTTTATTAGGGGCTCATACAACTCATTACAATCCATACTTACATCATTTGTGTCCAGCACTTTAGTACATATGTTGACTTCATCATTCTCACAACACCTGCTTTCCACTTGAGCCCTTGGTGTCAGCTCCTCATTTACCCCCTCCCTGCTCTCCCCTCCCCTCTTCCCCTTGATAATTTATAAATTATTATTGTTTTATCATATCTTACCCCATCCAACGTCTCCCTCACCCACTTCTCCGCTGTCCGTACTCCAGGGAGGAGGCCATATGTAGACCTTGTCATCCATTCCCCCTTTCTCCCTCCCCTCCCCTCCCCCCTCCCGATATCGCCACTCTCTCCACTGGTCCTGAGGGGTTCATCTGTCCTGGGTTCACTGCATTTCCAGTTCCTTTCTGTGCCAGTGTACATCCTCTGGTCCAGCCAGATATGTAAGGAGAATTGGGATCATGGTAGTGGGGTGGAGGAAGCATTTAAGAACTAGAGGAAAATTGCATATTTCATCATTGCTACACTACTCTGATTGGCTCCTCTCCTCCCCACATCCCTTCTGCAAGGGGATGCCCAATTTTCCCCGAGTGGGCCCTGGGTCCCCACTCTGCACTCCCCCTTATACACAATGTTATGATTTTTGTTGTCTTTGATGCCTGATACCTGATCCTTTTGCTACCTTGTCATCTAACAGACTGGTGTGCTTCTTCCATGTGGGCTTTGTTGTTTCTCAGTTAGATGGCCCCTTGTTTATCTTCCAGCATGTGGGACCCCAGATTCTGCTTTCTTAATTGTCCTTTTGTTGATTTCCAGCCTTATGGCATTGTGGTTGGAGAGAGAAGAGACTGTAAATCTTTACGGGAGTTAGAAAGCCCCATCTTTCTCCCAAAGGCCGATTCTAGGGTGAGGGAAATGATAGAGGAGAAAACTGGACAAGAGAGAAGACTGTTGTGAATGGTGTGTGTGTTTACAAATATGTAGAGGTGTGTATCTTCGGGCATCAGGTCTTGGAGGTGGTATGGGAGTTTGGAGAAGAACTTAGTCTTGGAGCAGAGGTCCTCAAACTTTGTCTTGTGGGCCACATGTGGCCCGCTGAGGACATTTATCCGGCCCGTTGGGTGTTTTTGCCACTCCTGCCTGTCCTGCTTAGCAGCCGACTCATCCTGGGCCCGCAGTGTGCATGTGTGGAATGTGTGCCGCACTCTCCTGTCCCGACCCGCAGGAACGTCAACGCAGACCCTGGAGGAGGGAGTGGGAATTGAGGGGAACAAGAGACACGAGAAATGGAGACAAGACAGTATTCTGATTAAGTCTCTCTTTATTGAGTAAAAGGTTTCAGCCTATATAGGCCAGGGGAGGGAAACACCCATCACACATGTAAATTAGGCCACTTTGGTAATAGACCAATCAAGGAGTCCAGGGGAGCACGCCCTCAGTAACGGTTTATAGTCTTCAACCAGGTACGCAGTGACATCATTTCATGCAAATCAGGTGCAGGCACTAGATGTGTAAATAGGGTGAAGACAATCTCCTACCCAATCAAGGGGAAGCAGGATATAGGTGCTTATATCAAGAATGTCACACTATGTATGGAAACCCCCTCATCTGTTTCTAGGCAGACTTGAAGGTTGAACTCAGCCCGTCCCAAGGACAGGCTATTCAGAGGGGAGATAACATAATCACAAAACTATGTCACGTAGGCGGGAATGGAAAAGTACTGCAAGCTCTGACAAAATATAGTGAAGATTGAGCCGAATGGCCCCGGACACTCTCCTATTGCCCTCCTTCTTTCTGTCTCTCGACTCCTCCTCTCAGTCTCGGGTGTGATCGGACGAGTCACGAGCTTGCCTGTGCAGAGCCTGCTGCTGCTGAGGACCGAGGTAAGAACACGTTAGGATTTTTTTTTTTTTAAGTTAGGATGTCAATTTTAAAAACTTTTGCAGTCAGTAGGGTATTTTTTTTTGCGGTTAAGGGGGGCCTTTTTTCTGAAATTAGGAGGTCTTTTTAAAAGTTGGTTGGGGGTGGTTTCTAGGGGGGTTGCATCTCAGTGATAACGCAAATAGTCAGTGCTCAGTGCTAATGCAAATTGTCAGTGCTTAGAGGTAATGCAAATGGCCAGCGCTCAGAGGTAATGCAAATAGTCAGTGCTCAGTGGTAATGATAATTTTATGTGCTCAGTGTTAATTCAAATGGTCAGCACTCAGTATTAATGCAAATTGTCAGCAGTCAGTGTAGTATTAAATTAAAAAATGACGCTGAGGGAGGTGAAGGGCCAGCCCCCACCCGCTGCTACTACTATTACTACTCAACGGGTTCAGTAATACAACTTCTGGGTTCAGTAATGCACAATTGTACGGTTGAGATATATAAGCATTATATTAAAGTCATCGAGAGCATGAGAGATATTACAATAATACAGTCAGACACATTACATGATAGCATTGCTCACCTCAGCCCAGCTTGGTGGTCCACGTGGAGAGAGGGGGAAGGGAAGGAGGGGAAGGGAACAAGGGAGAGGGGAGTGACCAGGGAGTGAGCAGCAAGGAGCTCAGAGTCAGAGAGAGAGATCTATATTGCTGACTCACACCTATATACCTTTTGGGGGCAAGCCAGCCCACTAATTACAGGTAGAGACATACGTCACAGGAAGGGGCTGCACTATAGGTTACACAGTAATGAGGGGGTGGTCTAGGGGCATACATGCAGTAGGAAGAGGGACAGCCGGTTTGGCCTGTCCCTGGCCCAACTGATAGAGACCATTATCAGTAGGATGCGAACTCCTCCTACAGGAGCATGTCCATTGTCCCCAGAGGCAGGGAGCAGGCCCACCCCTGTGGAGGTATGAGACAGCAGTCTGGCAACTGATTGCCCTCAGCGGGAGAATGCCTGCGCATCTGACCTCCCCCCACAAGTCAGTGTTATCACAAATGGTCAGTGATCAGTGTTATCGCATGAGGACCCCAAAGTGGTAATCTGCCTAGGGTTCCATGGGAACTTAATCCAGCTCTGCAGACAGCTGAGGAGTAGGAAACCCAATTAAAATGACAGTAAGTGCATTTATATTCTGATTGCTATTCTGTTGTGTGTGATGTTGTATGTTGTGTGCTGTGTTCACACTGTTGCGATCTCTGAGCAGTGTGAGTTCAGCCATATGCTTGTATGGCTGAACTCGCATTAGATTTGGAAGAAAAAAGGCATACGTTCCTTCTTTTTTCCAGCAGTGGAATCTGATTGCAGGGGTCTTCTCACCCATGAGATCAGATTCCTGTGTGAGTTCACAGATCACAGTGCGGTTTGCACAGGGTAGTGTGAACTGGAAAGGTGGCGGAGGAACTGGCTCTGTAGTTGTGCCAGTTCCTGCACTGCACCAGTGTGAGCTTGAGGTAAAAGCGGAGTTCCACTCATATGGGTACTGGTGAGGCTGAAATGATGTGGACTGGCAAGGCTGTATTGGTGGACACTGATCAGACTGCATTGATGGGCACTGATCAGACTGCATTAATGGGCAGTGCAGTCTATGTGTCTCTGTGTGGGCAAAGTTATTGCTGGTATATTGTTTTTGTTGCTATATATATGTGTGTGTGTGTATTTTTATATGTATATATATATGCATTTTTCTAATAGCAATTTGGAATCCCTAGGAAACAATGATATCAAGAAAGAGAAAAATTGACTTGGAATGTAGGATATTCAAGGAACAGTGGACTTATGATTACTTTTTCATGCAGTACAAGGAAAGAGCTGTGTGCTTGATATGCCAGAATATAGTGTCTGTGCTCAAAGAATACAATTTGCATTGACACTATCAAACTCAACATAAAGATAAATAATGATTGTTTGGTCGGAGAAGTGCGAAAAGATAAAATATTAAAACTGAAAAATACATGGACAACTCAGCAAAACACTTTGTGAAGCAGGAGCAGCTAAATATTTCATCACTGCGAGCAAGTTTTCAAGTTGCCAAGCTAATAGCGTGCACTGGCAGACCATTCGTGGAGGGACAATTTGTTAAAGAATGCCTTCTTTCTGTTGCCAAAGAGCTGTGTCCAGAGAAGGGTGACTTATTTAGTACAGTGAGTCTTTCAGGGCCTACAGTTACACGAAGGATTGAAGAAATGGGAGACAATTTGCATCAGCATTTGCAAAACTCCGCAAAAAAACTTTCCTATTTTTCCTTGGCACTCGATGAAAGTAATGATGTTGGTGATTCTGCACAACTTCTAATTTTTATTCATGGGACAAATGACTATTTCAAAGTCACAGAAGAGCTTGCTGCACTGCAAAGCATCAAAGGAACAACTACAGGAGAGGATATC